AAGTAACTTCTGCACGTTCACATAGCTGGTTACCTGCTTCATTTCGTGTTCAAGTGTAACCTAGGATGATTTGAGACATTTGTTTCTTTTACTTTTGGTGATACTGACTGATAGCTGGTTACCTGCTACGACTCTGTTAAGATCAGGACTTTTTTTTTTTAATAGCTTTGCTGGCCAGGTTTCAGTTTCGTTTCATTTTCTATCACTTCAGTTTCAGTTCTGTTTCTCAGGATACTCTCTTTCCCTTTTCAGTGGTAGTATCTGATCCTGTTATGACTATTTCTTTGTGATTCCTTTCTGATTAAAATACACCAATTATTCTAAGGCAGATATTCCTCAACAGGAAGTTTAAACAGATTTAAAACTTAGTAACAGGCAGATTTCGTGTAGCGTTAAGCAAAATGTATCTGCTTTGTTAGTATCACAATTTTGCCCAATAGCTGTCTCAGCGTGTATGTACCCATGGCCGGACTTGCCTTGTGTGTGCAGTCCTTGATGTGAAAAAACCACCGACCAGTCTCTGACACACTGATCAGCCAAATGTAATGAGCCATATCTGGTACTTCTGCCTTTCAGGAGAAAAGACTGCAAACTCTCTGGCTGAGCTGGTATCCCAGCCATAAAGTGGAGGAAAGTACGCTGAGTCTCTTCTTCACAGCTTATTCTCAACTCTAGGGAAATCTGAACAGTCCAGGGACTCCGTGGGCAGTATGACCGGAAAGTTTGAGGAAGGGAGTCAAAATAATGACCCAGGGGTTAGATCACTCTTCAGTCTTGACAACACTGAGAGAGAGAGAGAAAAGACGGAACTTCTATTTAGACAATCACGTATTCTTTGGACACTGAATCACCAAGATGTTTGAATTCTAAAAAATGTCTGCTTGAAACTTAAGTCCTTGATGCCCCCATATTTGAAATTATATTGTTTTCCATTCCACAATGAATATTTGCTGGATTTTGACAGTTTGGAAAAAGAAAAGTACAAAGAGAAAGAAAACATTCTAAATGCAATTTTGCCATAAAAATGTAACTCCTGTTAGCATTTTAGTATACTCTCCTCCATTTCTGTTTTCTACTCATATTTTTGCATATTTTTTGCTGTATGTAAACTTTTATTTCTTTTTTTTTAAATTTTTTTAACGTTTTTTTTATTTTTGAGACAGAGAGAGACAGAGCATGAACGGGGGAGGGGCAGAGAGAGAGGGAGACACAGAATCTGAAACAGGCTCCAGGCTCTGAGCTGTCAGCACAGAGCCTGACGTGGGGCTCGAACTCACAGACTGTGAGATCATGACCTGAGCCAAAGTCGGACGCTTAACCGACCAAGCCACCCAGGCGCCCCTGTAAACTTTTATTTCTGATGTTTTTTACTCAACAGTATATTAAAGCATTTCCTCGTGTTGATGCACATTTTACCAACTACATTTTTAATGATTACATAATATTGTCTCGTGTATATGATGTATTTGCCCATTCACTTACTTTGGGATATTAATGTTGAAGATTATCCTATTATGCAGATGTTTGCATATAAAGTCTTTTTCTTTCTTTTTCTGATTTACGATTATTTCCTTAGGATACATTCCCAGAAATAAGTATATTAAAAGGTACAAAAAATTGTAAAGATTATTGATACATGTTAAGTTCCTTTACAGAATGGTTGTAGCCCTCTACAGTAGCCTATTTAATGTAAGTATTATTGGTAAAATCATCTCTTTAAACTAACGTGAAGCAAATATTCCATTAATGCAGCTTGCTACACATTGAATTTATATAAAAATGCCCTTTATTTTGCCTATGCCTCTGAAAGGGTTTTAGCAGTTTACTAATGTGACTATATTTGAATTTAAAAATCAGGCTTTAATCAGTTTACTTATTCGACACAGAGTCATAAAAAGAAGTGTAACATATGGTCCGTGTCCCATCAGATAGACAAGAATGATACATAGACATACGCAGGGAGAAAAGAGGGTCGCTGAGCTGGGTGGGGGGGTGGGCGGCAGTTCAGAGGGAAATGAAGCTCAGGGAGCAAGATGGGTGGAGAAGACAGGTTAGTTCCTCTCCTCTGAGAGTGCTAGAACCTGACTCTGCAGGATGGTAAGACTTACAGACAGACAGACAGGGGGACAAGGGCCTTCTTGACTAGGAAAACAGGATTCACAAAAGACGATTCATCATAAACATTAGAAAATGAGGAGACTGTAGGCTAAAATTTGCAAGTGATGTAGACTATATTTGAACACTAAATTCTGATGTTCCACTTCCTGATTTTTATTCAAAGAAGTCAGCCTGCAGAAGCTCATATAATTTTAGAGCTCAAAGAGATTGTAGCAATCACTCAGCCCAATACCTCCCAGATCCTATATTTTTGCAAAGGAGGAAGGGAACATTGGTGAGGGATTACAAGCTTTATGTCCTAATTTCCAGGACAGTGCTTTTTTTACGGGGCCCTATACTCTCAGGCACACCATGTGGGAATCTGACACAGGCCAGGATTATTTAATGCTATACATGGTGTTATATGGTTACACACACACACACACACACACACACACACACACACACACACACACACCACCATTCTCACAGAGCCTGGGAAAATAATGCAGAAGTGGGGAGTCAGGTAGGAGTCATTATGTAGATGTGACAGAGTGACTGACTTTTGAATAGCTTCAAAATTTCTTTCCATACCTGTAATGGGATATTTTGAATTGAATGATTAAATGAATGATACAACTATTGGAACTATTTGTGTCTCGCATACTTAAATATTTGTAAAGAAAGTCTACAAATGTAATCATCATATAAATTAAACTTCTTCTCTATCCCTTACTAAATAGAAGCCACCCTACTAAATTTTATAAGGAATGCTATAAACAATAAGGTGGAGGATGTAGTCTAAGGAGCTCACAATTTAACTGAGGAAATAAGACACAGAAATATATATTATTTATATAATATTATATAATATATTATATTATAATATTATATAATATATATATTACAAGTGTAAAATTATTTGATACACCTTTTATATAACTTCTATTACCTAATCAATGTCTCACAAAGAGTGAACACTCAATACATATTTGCTAAAGGAAGGAAGGAAGGAAGGAAGGAAAGAAGGAAGGAAGGAAGGAAGGAAGGAAGGAAGGAAGGAAGGAGAAAAAGACCATTTCCAGGCAGGATTTTCCATAGAAGAGTTCCTGAAAGACGAGATGTGAGCCCAGTCCTCGAGGATGGTTGAGATTTGGAAGAATGAGGAGAAGATAAGGAATATTCCAGACAAGAAATAAAGCATGAGCCTAACGTGCCTATTCACGGCAAATTAGATAAACATGTTCTCTAATTGCTAAAAATTAACTTTCCAAAATAGATAAATGCAGTACAACCAGACACGTGAGCATACACATAGCTGAAAATTAACAGTATACCTCTCTAAGAGGTAATTTGGGGGCAAGAGAAAAAATCATTCTATGAGATAGCATTGAAAAATAAATAAACTATTTGTTCTCCAAAAAAATAAACACACCTAAAACAAAAACCACACCCTAAAAACTTTTCCTCAATTAGATTGCTATAAACTAGAACAAGTAGGAGTGGAAAATATACCATCTCCTGAAATGTCAAAGAGATATTAATGATTAGTGATCACACAGTTGCAAGATACTGTTGGACGCTGATTTTCTCCTGATGTAAAAGGTATGTAAGTTCAGTTCTGTGTCATTGCATGGGGACAAAGGTGTTACAAGTACACATGGATCACTCACTCTGCATATGATACCTTTGCCCCATGCCTTTTATACAGTGAAAGAATTACAGCTATTATTCTAGGCTCTAGTGCCTAACATGTAAAGGCTTTCTTTCCTCCTTCAGGAATTTTAAACTTAAGAAAAGGCATGTGCTATTCACAGATGCATAACATACGTAAAGAGTTTTTGTTATAATTTTCTTTCTTCATTAAAAGAATTTGTGTTTTTTAAATGAAAGGGGGCTTAATGGTTATTTAATCTAAACCCTCAACATTGCATGTAGATACATAGTTATACAATAATACACAAGGATGGGAGATGGGGGTGTGTTTACATACACGCCTTAGAAATGGTAAATGAACCTATATCTTACGAGGTAAATGAACTTATATATAAATCTAAACAGCAGTGAATGAACCTATACATAACAAGGTTTCTATATTTTGCATGAAGCGGAAACAACATGAACTAGAGCAGACTGGGAAAAGTTAAGAATGTATACTGCGTCCCTATAGAAACCACTAGGGAGGAGGATTACCAGAATGACTGAGGGAGAAGCATGCCAAATCCTTTTCTCCAAAGCAGTGATAAAGTTGGACAAAACTATCAAAAACAACCATTTTGGTACTCTGTAAATTGACCAAAGTCACACAACAAATTGAGAAGAATTTATTGGTGATAAATTCCTAAACTTCAGTAAGATCGGTGGAAGTCTGTGGTGTTTTAGCCTGGGGCTGTTCCTTTCCATCCCTTCCCCCAGCTCCATAGTGACATGGTTCTACTCAGGCAGAGTAGGTGATGAGAGGGAGCGGTCAGAAGGGACTGAGATCAGCAACATAAAATAAAAAACCATGATACATTATGACCAAGTGGGACTTATCCCAGGAATGCAAGGTTGGCTCAACAGCTAAATATCATTTAAGATAATACACGATATAGTGGAATAGAATATAAAAACCACATGATCACCTTAATCAATCTAGAAAAATCATAGGACAAAATCTAATACCTCTTTATGATAAAAAACCTTCAGCAAACTAAGAACAGAAAGGAACTTCCACAATCTAATAAAGGGCATTTACGAAAAATGTACAACTAACATTATGCTCAGAAGTGAAAGATTGAAATTTTTCCCCCCACTAAGATGGGGACTCAGGTAAGGATATCCACTCTTAGTTCTTCCATTTCAACATCGCACTAGAAATTCTAGCCAATGCAAACAGAGAATTTAAAAAAGCACACTAATCAGAAAGGAAAAAGGGAAACATCTTTATTCATAGACTCATGCTCCTATTTATAGAACATCTTAAATAATACACACACTACTAAAATGAACAAGTAGCAAGGTGTGGAGTACAAGATCAACATACAAAAATGAATTGTATTTCTATATACAAGCAATGAACAATCCCAAAATTAGGAGATCGGTATAATCTTAAGATAAAAATGTAGTACTCCCAAACCACAGCTTATAATACATATACTCCGTACAAATATACACACATATATACATGCACACACACATATAATCACAGGAAAATATTGGAAATGAAATGTGTAGTAGTTACCTGTAGGCAGCTGAGTTTGGGCTAATTTAAAAATGTTAATACGAATTGAATTTTTTAATCATATTTTTAATAATGAACATCTGTGGCTTCGATAGTGAGGAAATAAGTGGCAAATGTTATTTTAAATTGGTCCTTGAATTGAAAGGATGGTATAGTATTTGGAAATGTAGCTTTGGGTGGCCACCTACAGTTTGAATCATGCCTCAGTCATTTTCTAGCATGAAACCTTGGAAAATGGCTTAACTCTCAGTCTCGGTGTCCTCATCTATAAAATGACATTTATCAGAAGAATGTTATGAAGATTAACAGCAACTATGTGTAAAGTGATCAGTTCGACAGCACACAACTCAATACTCAATAAATGGTCTTTATTACTGTTGCTGTTGCTTAGAAAGACTTATGCTTTGCTGTGGAAAAATGATTCTTTTCTCATGGCTGTTATTTCTTTGCTCTTTTTCCAATCATTAGAATCATTAGAATAGGGAACACGCTGACCAATAAGGATGAGGTGGAGTTGGAGATAATCACGGCAACTCTGCATTATTAGAGTAGCTCTGCGTTTGAGTCATTCGGTTGCTACGTGACATCGGCTCTTGAGGTCACTGCTTAAGTCTATAGGCAGGATGTGTAGAAAAAGGGGAGTCGTAAGGTGAGCTGGTGCCATTGCCAGAGCTGTCCCAAATGGGAGCAGAAGCTACGAGGAATCCCCAGCATGGCTTCTCTCCTTGCCATTGGCTATTTAATGCTTGTGAGACCTGGCAGTTAGAGGGCGAGGTGTGGGAGGAGAAAGGGAGAGGGATTTTGAGAACTCATAGTGTGTATATGAGTCTTAATTTAGCACCAGGCCATCGTCTCCTCCATATGGCTGACTGCTTGAGTCACCAGTTGAAGCCCAAGACTCCTCAGAGGTTAGAAGTCAGGAAATGACAAGTTAGTCGAATTTCTTTGATCATTTCCAACTCTTCTGGCACGGCAGCCAAAGCCTTCTGATAGAATGGAAATGGTTCTGTAGGTCATCCAAATTTCAACAGCCAACGATGACATATGCCGTGAGTTTGCCAATCTTACCCAGGCACAGCTAAATCTGAAAAACAGTAGACCTGTGTGGATAAAATCTTTATCTATGCAGATAAAATCTTCATGTCTGGACTTAGCTTACATTTCTGTGAAATAAAACTCTTCTCGTGCCTTTTTAAAAAGTGACATGTTTAAGAATTATGAAGAAAAAAACCTTTAAAACCTTAAAGTTGTAAATGTTGATGGAACATTTTAAATACAAATATTGAATGCAAGAAAAAAACACTTTTTTTGAGAGAGACACAGAGCGCGAGTGGGGGAGGGGCAGAGAGAGAGGGAGACACAGAATCTGGAACAGGCTCCAGGCTCTGAGCTGTCAGCACAGAGCCCGACACGGGGCTTGAACCCATGAACCGCGAGATCGTGATCTGAGCCGAAGTCAGACGCTCAACCGACTGGGTCACCCAGGTGCCCCGTGAAAAATAAATTTTGACTTGATGTTGAAGAGGAACGTAAGAATTTTTAAAAAATATTTCAAGTACAGTCAGTCTACAAAACTAGTGTTCTGATGCGTAGATGTGCTCTGGGATAAATGTGGCAAGAGTGTTGTTTAATTTAGGTTAGATTTGCTTAACTTGTATCCACATAGTTCCATCAAACTTAGTTGAAAAGGTGAAAAAATAAAACAAATACTTTTTCCTACATCACAAATTGGGCGTTTTTAAACTGAATATTTATTTTGAGAGGGAGAGAGAGAGTATACACGTGCTTGTGGGGGAGAGGCAGAGGGAGAGAGAATTCCAAGCAGGCTCTACACTGTCAGTGCAGAGCCCCACATGCGGGGCTCCACCTCTCAGACTGTGAGATCATGACCTGAGCCAAAATCAACAGTCAGACGCCTAACCGACTGAGCCACCCCAGTGCCCTTCCATTTTTTTAAGTTTATTCATTTTGAGAGAGTAGTTTTTTAATGAACTAAAAAAAATTCACCACTTATTTATATATATGTTAGATGTATGACTTAAACATATTTTTAAATTAATTAAATCTTAGCATCAGTTTACAGGGTTTAAGTAAGTCTTTAGTATTTAGTATTTCCCTCTCTACATAAACATTTGTAACCAGTCCTCTAAAGTTGCTAAGTAACATTTAAAGTTTTATAGTTTTTAAAAATTCTTCCAAATAATTTTTTTCCAAGAAAAAGATAGTACTCTTTAAATGGTAGTATTTGGATCTAAATATGCATAAATTAAAATTATACCAAACAAGAACAGCAGGCCATTCAAGGTACCACATATAAGCCACGATCTAAGAAAGTGATCGCATTTACGCAGAATTGACAAGATTCAGGGGGAGTGACACCTCTAAAGAAATTTAAAAGGGACGAGTAGGCCGAATGTTAATGTATTTATTTCAATGTGGAATATCCCTTTCTTTGAGAGTAGATTATATATTTCCATTCACTAGGATTTCTTCTTTCCCAGCATTAAGTCAACGGGAAACTGAATCGCTAATCAAAAGGTTGTTGGGTTCTGCATCAGAATCCAGGGTGAAAATTGCATGGTCTTAGAGACTTTTCATGAGAGTGAGGAAAAGCCCAAAGCACTAGTCTGTCATTCTGGGTACGGAAAAGCATCCACCAGATGCAATGACCGTTTACATTGAGAAGTCCTGCATTAACCTTGACAAACGCATTGACTCTCCATTTTCCCTATTTAGATTACAAGCAATCTCCTTAAATCGCTTTTGATAGAAAGCAGATAATACAAAATTAAGGTAATTTCCTTATGCTCCGCACGGAACACCATCCTCCTGGTACTTCACCGTGCCTTTTGTAGTTTGGTTCCAGAGGATTATTTTGTACTCTTCTTTAGAAATGTTTCTGTCTGAGGATGACCTTGCTTGCCTTTGGCTGGGCCCCAGGTTTCCTTCAGAACACATTGACAAACTGACTCTTGGGACACCTTCTGACTCTGCAAGCCATTACAGGTTGATCCTAACCAGCTTCACTCTTTAATTTTTTGGAAGGCCAATATATTGAGGTAACAAGTGCAGAAAACCAGTTCTCCACTAGGCTTCTATGTTTCTTGCACAAGTCTTATTATTCTATTTTATATACAGTTTTAAAGATGACTCTGGTCAGCATTTTGTCCCTTTTATAAAATCAATTAATGAAAGTTTTGTGTTAAACTGCACTCATAAATGTAATGTATTGTCTTTTACCTTTCACTCGTCCTGTGGATGAGGATTTGTAATCTCCCTGTTTCCCACTTTATTTTGAAAAGAAAATCACGCCTGCAGAAAGGTGAAGTTCAATATTCACCCATATACCCTTTACTTTGATTTGGCTGTTGTCACTGCTTTGCCACATTTGCTTTGTTTCTCTATAATTTTTAAATAAAAAATAAGTTGTAGATATCATAACATTTAAACCTTCAGTGCTTGAGCAAATATCAGCCGAAAACAAGGGCAATTTTTTATACAACCACAAGGTCATTATGTCACCCAAGAAAGTTAGCATTGATAAAGTAACCATGTCTAATTAGAAGTCCCTATTCAAACTTACCGAATTATCCCCAATATGTCTTTTTAGAGTCTTTTTTTTTTAAAGTCCAGGATCCAATCACAGATCATTCACTGCATTTGCCTCCTTAGTTTTCTTTAGAACAATTTGCTTTCTTTCTGTATTTGCTTTCATGACATTGATTTTTTTTTAAGATTTTTGAAGATTTTAAGTTGTCTTATACGGTATCCCATAATCCACATTTGCCTTATTTTGTCATGATTAGATTCAGTGTAAACATTTTGGCAAGAATACCACAAACAGTATGTTCTTCCAATGATGTCCATGACATGAGGAGGAATATTAGATCGTCCCACTACTGATAATGCTCATTGTGACATGTTAAGGTGGCGTCCATCAGATTTATCCACAAATAAGTACCTTTCCCCCTTTTAACTGAGGCATTATTTTGAGAGCACGTGAATGTTCCTTTTGCCAGCAACTTTGCACCCAGTGGTGAATCGACTATTACACATGGTGGTTGCAAAATGAGAGTTTCCTCACACTTTCCTTCTAAATTTTTTGGCTGGCATGCTTCTGTAGAGAAGAGCTTTCCCTGGACCTTCGTCCACCGTTTTTCCTCTGAGAATCTCTATGGACTTGGATTCTTTTTTGATTCACTGGTACGTTATTCTTTGTGATACTCAAATTCTGCTGGATTCGCAGAGTAGGAGCCCCTTCGTGTGCCAATTTGACAGAGTTTATTGGCTTGGGTGTCCTTTCAACATATCGCAATAGGTCAGGATTTCTAAACCAACTGGCAAGAAGTGTGGGCTACTCTGATTCGGTTACTGATCAAGATCTATCTATGCAGCTGGCAAAGGTATCACTCAAACCACATAGGATCTTTGGAAGAAGGCTGGATGCTTGAAAAAAATTAGGCTTCTTTTCTGAATGCAAAAAGATAAGATACAGTGGGTTTAAGCTGGGTTCACAAAGAGCCCACCAATAATTTGATGTAACCATATTTAAAGAAGTATACGAATTCAGCAAATCCCATTCCAGAGAACACTACTGGGGCAGTTGTTATTTTCCTATCTAGCAAGCCAAACTTCCGAAACTTCAAATCTACTGTCCATGGGTCCCTGGAAGGCAGTATCATCAGGGTGCCTGGGTGGCTCAGTCAGTTAAGTGGCTGACTTCACCTCAGGTCATGATCTTATGATTCATGAGTTTGAGCCCCACGTCTGGCTCTGTCCTGACAGCTCAGAGTCTGGAGCCTGCTTCAGATTCTGTGCCTCCTTCTCTCTCTGCCCCTCCCCAGCTCACACGCTCTCTCTCAAAACTGAATAAATGTTTAAAAAAAAAAAAAAGGCGGCAGTATTGTCTTTTTTGGGTAGACAGGCTTTACAGTTGGGCAAAAAGTCTATTTGCAGACATCTCATAGAACCAGGCAAGTACCAGTTCCTGAATTTTTCTTTTTTTTAAATGTTTATTTTTGATATATATAGAGAGACAGAGTGTGAGAGGGGAGGGGCAGAGAGAGAGATGAGGAATCTGAAGCAAGTTCCAGGCTCTGAGCTGTCAGCACAGGAACCAAAAGATCATGACCTGAGCCCAAGTCGGACACTCAACCAACTTAGCCACCCAGGCACCCCTGGTTCCTGAATTTCTAGCATGAGCCAGTAGCCTGAAGACTTTCCAAATCAATCCACTTTAATTTTTTATGTTTATTATTTTTTTGAAAAATTTTTTTAACGTTTATTTATTTTTGAGACAGAGAGAGACAGAGTATGAATGGGGGAGGGTCAGAGAGAGGGAGACACAGAATCTGAAACAGGCTCCAGGCTCTGAGCTGTCAGCACAGAGCCCAACGCGGGGCTTGAACTCACAGACCGCGAGATCATGACCTGAGTCGAAGTCGGACGCTTAACCGACTGAGCCACCCAGGCGCCCCTATGTTTATTATTTTTTAAGAGAGACAGAGAGAGAGAGAGAGAGAGAGAGAGACAGAGTGTGAGTGGGGGAGGGGCAGAGAGAGAGAGAGAGAGAGAGAGAGAGAGAGAGGGAGACACAGAATCTGAATGAAACAGGATCCAGGCTCTGAGCTGTCAGCACAGAGCCCAATGCAGGGCTTGAGCAAGATCATGACCTCAGCCGAAGTCAGACACTTAACCGACCGAGCCACCCAGGTGCCCCCTAATCAATCTACTTTAGAATCAAGTTTATTTCCAGACAGGCTTCAAAGATTGGTGGATTCTCAGGGCGCCTGGGTGGCTCAGTCGGTTAAGCATCTGACTTCTGCTCAGGTCATGATCTCGCAGTGTGTGAGTTCGAGCCCCCTGTGGGGTTCTGTGCTGACAGCTCAGAGCCTGCAGCCTGCTTCGGATTCTGTGTCTCCCTCTCTCTCTGCCATCCCCCGCTCGTGCTGTCTCTCACAAAAATAGATAAACATAACAAAAAATAAAAAACAAAGGTTGGTGGATTCCAGGGCTTCTCCAAAAGTTTCAATGTACAAGTGGGAGAACTTGGGCCACCTGGTAAATCTAAGTTCCTAAGAATCTTCCTGACAAATGAAGCCACAACTCTAGGGAGACTCTGAATTTATCCAAACACTAATCTTCCAGAAAAGGTGCCATACACCCATGTTGGGCATGGATTCCTAGCTTACCAATGAGAATACTGTCATAGCATCAATACTGATGATTTCTATGTCAAACATGTCTTATAGCATGCTTTTGTAAACCTTACCAAGACATATCTCTTTAATTTTAAATATACAATTTTTTCCTTAAGTTATAGATCAATGAATAATTCATCTGTGTTGTTTCCAAGAACCTAACAGCTTTTTAACTGTAATCTTTAAAGATATTATTTAATAACTCTTAAATGTATGATATAACTAAACAAAAATATGAACTAAACAAAAATTTATTTTTGAGGTACCTTAAATCCTTGACAATTTAAGTGATCGAAGGTATAGACTGTAAGAACAATGGCTTTGGACATACATATTGCTTCCTTAGAATCTATGTTTTCCTTGCTTCTTTCCAACAGACCTGGATTTTTTGGGGGGTGGGGGACCGACATTGTTCTGACAAAGCTGACTCCACTTCTGTGGCTCCATTGAATAATCAGTAATGGGCATGTAACCTAAGCCAATTCATGTAGAATGAGTCTCAGTACTAGTCTGGCAATGTTGGAACACAAATGTTTTCTTTTCCCTTCTAGATATTAACAAAGAAAGATTCAGGTAACCCCAGAAGTAGTTGGCAGTTACTTTTGGTTCCTGGTGCATTATTGTTTGTTTACTCGGCAAACATTCATTAACAGCAACTGTGTTCCAGATGGCAAAATATAAAATTGAAGACTGATGTTAAGATACTTCTGTTCTAATGGAGGAAACAGATGTAGTGGGAGAGGGAGCAAGTAAGTCAACACTCACAAACACTGAAAGAACAAATCCTTGGTATGGATGAGATTACTAGTTTCGTCTGAGCTAGAAGTAGCTGTCTTTGGGCATCCTTCTTATAGAGTAGGTATCATTATTAGTGTGCTCTGAACCATTCAATTAACTGTGCTTTTACTGAAATTTCTTACAGTAACCCGATTGCAAAAGGGAGGGTTGCAAAGCCTCTGCTCAATCCTCTATCACTGGCTAGTGTCTTAATCCAAAGTAGAATCATAACTTGAAACCAGTTTTCTGGTTACATATAAGTATTTAGGCAGTAATGTCAATAATATCATCTTTCATTGCTAAGAAGCAAATAAACACAGTGAATGTGCATTAAATAGTACATTGAATATGCCTTAAATGTCATCTAGAGACAAGAGACAATAGCACTACTTTGTGTCCTTAAAGATGTCTTTTATGGCACATATTCCTCTGTGAACAACTTCGATACAAACATACTCCCACCGTTACCACAGTACCAATATCTGTCCTATCTGAATAATTATCCAGGAATTATGTAAAATACCAGAGAATCTAGATCAGGAGTTCTCAATAGGTAGGCCTGGTGGGAGGAATACCTTCCTAGGGCGTCTTATTAGAATCATCTGGGTAGTTTTCCCAATGAAACATGCCTACATCTCATCCCGGGATTTCCATCTGGGCTGCTCCCAGAAAAGCATGCAGTACATTCTTCTTACCCAGAGAATGTGTTCTCTCTTTCACATACAAAAGTTGGAAAAAAGTTGAGGCCTGGTCTAGTTACAGTATGGATAGAGGGCTCTGAAACAACGCACTGGGGGGGGGGGGGTAAATGGCAAATTGTGCACCTGATGGATGATGATAACCAGAATATTAGATCATTTTATACATGTCATATATATTCAAAAGCTGGGATCACTGAATTTTCTAATATTGGCCAAAGATAGAAGGACAAATGTCAACATTATTATTTTTACAAATCTCAATTCTAATATAAAATTTATGGGTCAAGTATTGTTGAGAGTTCCTACCAAATGGCTTCCTGTTGCCAAGGAAAATGTAAAGACCTTTTGCCTGAGTTACTTGGAAAAATGCCTCCCAAGGTTAAGTATTACCTTACTACACACGATATCCCAATCTGGACAGGTGACTCAATACAGACCTGTATCCAGCCAGACTAAGACGATTATTGGTTGCCTAAGGTATTTCACCCTGAGCTTTAGAAACGTGGGAGTAGATGAGATAGAGTAAAAGATTCCACGGAAGTTGAAGCTGACAGACAGCAAAAGGGAGCAAGGATTGTTAATTAACAGTCCTTAACAAAGTTTTCTCCTGATTGTAATGATTTCTACGTAACACGCAAAGAATGTAAAGAATTAGTAAATTACCTGGAAGAATGGCTCTCATATACTTTGTCAATCTTAAATGTGTTGAAAATAATTCCTTCTCCCTGCTTTATTGCTGAAACTGATTTTAGGCTTCAGTTCAGCCTTTTACTGAATTATAAATTAGCTTCTTAGGGCATAAACGTGAGATAAAGGGCTCAGCGAATGCTCTCCCACAGATGCCCCAATATCTCAGAGTTACGGTGTCATTTCTGTTTTTTACATACTCCTACTATACAGCTGTAGTAAGACTTAAAACAAAAAGGATTTAAAAGTAATCCCACCTTTTCAAATTAACCTTCAAAAAATCCAGATAGGTACTAAAAATTGGGGCTATATTAAAAAAAAAAAAAAGCCACAATGTGAGAAAGACATTTTGAAGGTACTCAAACCTTTAAAATATAAAAAAACTAAACAAAAATAAATAAAGTTGAGAGCCTGTCAAGGTGGTATCTTATTAAGTTCGAATCACAGGGAATTTACACGGGCACAAGGATCCAAAATGTTGGCGTCAGGCACAGCAACGTTATTTAGCAAGTAAACCGATCCCCAGAAGATGGAGGCGCGGGCGGAGAGGGACTTTTGCTAAAAAACTGTCGTGGAAATGACTTCCCAAAAGCGTTACAGATCAGAGGTAACCGTTAGGCCAAGGGCGTCCACATCAGCACGCCCCCCACTCCGCCCAGAGGCCGCGGAACTCCTCGGGTCGCGTCGCCTCCGCGCCCCCAGGGCCGCGCGTCCCCATCTCCGCACCTTGCAGCCGGCACACGCCGTGGGCGCCCGCTCAGCTTTGAGGCGTCCGGGCCCCCTAACCACAGCCACAATCCTGCCTCCCGAGCCAGTTCCCCGATCTGCAACTCAGAGAGTCAACACAACCGATCCTTGTGAAGTTGTGGTGGGAATTATGCCACTGCTGACTACCCGAAAGTCGGCCAGGCTGTGGAGACTGAAAGAGCTCGCCTTGGGTTAGCGCGCTCACTTCAGAAGAACCTCCACTCCTAGGACACGTTCAGTGCGGCGAACGGCGCTGGCCGAGGTGGGGCGGTGGCCCAGGCGAGGAGACAGAGCAGGGGAGTCAGTAGTCAAAAACAGGGCTAGGGCCCTCGGAAAACGTGAAATGACCCCCGTTAGTCCTCTCACGTGGACCTCGCAAGATACTCGCCGCGCTCGGCGCACCTAGCGATCCAGCCACCGCCCCACCGTCCCACCAACGTCCTACCCTAAGCTGGCAAAGACCAGATATTAGGACCGCGCGGAAGCCGCCGAGAGAGAGGGGCGGTCGCGTAGCAGTTGGGCGTGGCTTCTCGAAGAGGCAGCCCTTGGGGGCGGGGAGAACTACGCAACTGTCAACTCTGGCCTCTGATTGGCTGAGGTGCCTGCGCGGAGTCCGCAAGCGTCTCCGCCCGGCCCGGCCGCTCCTCCTCCTCTCCCAGCCGCTGGGTCCACACCGGCTCGCGAGGGAACCGCTCAGGCGCCGCCGCCCCAGCCCAGTGCGGACGACGGGAGAGAGGGAGGAGGAAGGAGAACACACTCGCTTGCTTGCTCCCACCCGCACTCGGGCTCCTAGAGCCGGCGCGGAGCCCAGGGGGAGGAGCCGCCGCGGGCACGCCCCGCCTCCGGCCCGGGAAGACGACGCCAGCGACCCCGCCGGCCGGCCACCGCCCCCCTCGCCGGCCGAGACCCGCCCCCGGCCCCGGCCCTCCCCCGGCGGCATGGAGGGGCCCAGCTCTTGACGGCAGCGCCGCCGCCTCGGC